CAAAAAACTGGCTTCTCTAGCCCAGCATCTTGCTTCCAGCAGTGCACAGCCAGATGCCCCTGGGAAGCTTACAAGACATCACGAAAGCAGCAGTCCTCCCTCACTGTCTGTTTCCACCATTGACCCTTTAAGGTATACTGCCCCTGAACATGAAGGTTCCATTTAGTTCATAGCCAGGTAGTGACTTCTCCTACATTTGCCTAATCAAAAAAACAAACATCCATCAAAGCCAATGGCCATCACTTCTCACATCACAATGCGGAGACGCACTGCTTTAACCTGTAAGCCCTGCGCCCCAGGGAAACATCCTTGTATTCTGACCACTGCCTTGAATCCTATTGTAAACCTCAAATGGGGTCAGATTAATGTTTTGATCTGAAGAATATTTAGAAAAGAGGAGAATTAAAAAATCCGGAAACTTCTGTATCAACGTGGCTTTATTTGAATAAATGTACAACTTCTACTCTACATTCTCTCCACTGAGCCTGGCCTTCCTTTTGTGGATCCTTCTGGACCTTTTGCTTGGACTTATACTGTGTGGACTCTATACTGTTTGAGCTGTTTGCCGTTTACTGTTTATGTATTCAGACTGAGGAGCTGCGGTGGCTCAAGTGGTTAAGATGCTGAACTGCAGGCTGTGGAAGGTCGGTAGTTCAGCAGTTCGAGACCCGAGCTGCCACATGACGGAGTGAGCTCCCGTCTCTAGTTCCAGCTCCTGCCAACCTAGCAGTTCGAAAGCAAGAAATTGCAAGTAGATAAAGAGGTACCACTTCGGTGGGAAGGTAGCAGCGTTCCGTGCGCCTTGGTGTTTAGTCATGCCGGCCACATGACCACGGAAATGTCTTCGGACAGCGCTGGCTCTTTGGCTTTGAAACGGAGATGAGCACCGCAACCCTAGAGTCGGACTCGACTGGATTTTGAGCAAGGGAACTTTACCTTTTTTATTGAGACTGAAGAGCGTTGCTCTCATACATAATTGGGACGCCACACAGAAGTTTTTTTTTTCCTTTTCCTTATTCTATTTCTAGTTTCCTGTGGGACCTTCTCTCTATATAAAAAGTAAAGGTGTCCCTTGCTCGAAAGCTAATCGAATCCGACTACAGGGGGCGGTGCTCATCTTCTTTTCCAAGCCGCAGAGCCAGTGCTGTCCGAAGACGCTTCCCTGCTCATGTGGCCGGCATGACTAAACACCAAGGCACAGGGAACGCTGTTACCTTCCCACTGAAGGGGTACTTATTTATCTACTTGCAATTTCTTACTTTCGAACTGCTAGGTTGGCAGGAGCTGGGGCCAGAGACGGGAGCTCACTCCGTCCTGCAGCACTCGGGTCTCGAACTGCCGAGCTACCGACCTTCTGGTTTGCATCTCAGCGCCTTAACCTCTAAGCCACCACGACCCCCCTCTCTCTATAGCCTTAATTAAAAAAACAAGTAACCCTCAAAGCCAATGGCTCACATCACAAGGGGATATTCAAACGCCCCTTCTTTGAATGCACTCAGGCTAAGACAATTTAAATTGTATTCTGAAATATTTTATACCCCACCTCTCCAAACTAATATCTCGATGCCCTGCGGTCAGCAACCGCTCAGGTGCCAACCACTGTCCCCTTTACCTTACAAAGGAATCAAAACATCGCCCTGACCTGGATAGCCCAGGCAAGCCGATCTCGTCAGATCTCGGAAGCTAAGCAGGGCCGACCCTGGCAAGTAACTGGAAGGGAGACTACCAAGGAATACCAAGGCTGGGACACAAAGGCAGGCAATAGCAAGCCACCTCTCTGAAGCATTCAGACCCTACTGGGGTCGCCAGAAGTCACAATGACTTCCCTGCATGAAAGCACATACACGCACATACAAAATACCCACACACCCACAAAGGAATCAAAACCTTGACAAGTTAAGAGGCCATCAGTGAAATGTGGACAGTGTGAAAAGGAGTTTTCAGATCCACATGTGGGTGGAAAACTCAAAATGGCAGTGGGAGTAAATAAACATTTGGGGCAAACCATGGACGACGGTTTAGGGGACGGACGATACAGGCCCATATTCCTGAACACGGTGTAGAGGTTAGAGAGTGCGAATCCCCCTCTCTGCCATGGTGACCTTGGGCCAGTGGCTCTCTTGTCAGCCTAATCTACCTCACAGGGTCGTTGTTGCGTGCAGAGTGAGAACAATGTTGCAAACCTCTTTGGGCCCCCATCAAGGAGAAAAGCGGGGCATGAAAACACAAGTTACTTTCTAGCTTCCGAAAAGTAGCCGAATTGTTTGGTTTTGCCTCTCCTTGCTTTTCAGGGTTTGCGTTTGGTTTGTGGACAATATCCCTGCCCCACTTTTTAAAGCCTTTAAGTCAACTCTGCAGTTCTGGAAAGGGACATGGCTTGACCCATGCTGAACTTCCACTCAATGCCCCCCCACACACACACACCTGAGATCCACACTTCAGGACCACACAAGAGGGCCAGAAATCTCCGGAACGGCCCTGTAGCATTGCCTCTTTTGTGGCCAAGAAAAAACACCCCCTTCTAGGCCTCGTTTTTGAACAGCCTTGCTCCATAAAAAAACTACAACCAACGAATCAAGACAGGATTACAAGCAATGCCTCCCTCTAAGCTGTGGAGTCTTTGTGAGCAAAAATTCTACTTTGTGAGCTACTGGCATTAAAGTTGTGAGCGAGTGATTTGGCTACTGCATAAATTAGTTTGCTCTGGAGCCATCCCTTCCTGAGCTAAGACAAAAATGTGTGAGCCGGAGGCTAAAAAACTATGAGCTAGCTCACACTAACTCAGCTTAGAGGGAACACTGATTACAAGCGACAAGATTTTTTTTAAAAAAATCCTTTGTTTCCTATTGACTTGCCTACCAAGTGCTAGAGACAGAGAGAGTTGGAGCCAGTTTCCAAAGTGTTCCCGGAGTGCTAGGAATCCCACTTCCAAAGACAAAGATGCGTTGAGTTGCTTAACCAGAGCGCCCCCCGCCATCAGAAACTACCACCCAAGGTGATTGTTATACAACATACAGACAGACACCGTTTCAACTGAGAGACACGGCCGGGTGTGACAAAACACACAAGCGCAGCCAACCTACAGTCGACCCTCGTGCCAATCTGCTTCGTACTTTCCAGAATGCGGAGAATGGCTTTCTTCCAACTGGGGAAGTGCCCAGGTCCTTTGGCTGAGGCGCCCTCGCAAAGAGCCACTAATCTAGTCACCTATGGCGAGTCGAAATGAACTACAGGCAACCAGGTGGGAAGCTTTTGTAAATGGAAGGAAGGAAGTTGGTATCCCCACCCCCACCCCCCGCTTTCTCATCATCCACAAGTGACTGGGCATGGGTACATGTAGGCAGGCTTTGAGATCTGCAACGTTTTTTTCATTATTGTCTGATCGGTGGGGGGCAGGGGGTTAGCTATACAAGCTAGATAAGCTTGAGTTTATTTGGAAGTCCTGGCTGAACACTCAGGCCAGTATACAGCTCTCATTACTACATGCAGCAAAGTGGAAGTACAAAAAAAAAGGGCCCGGGGGGGGGGGGGGGACTGATGCTATCTGCAGAACACTCAGCAGGAGTTACAACCTTCCTCCTCCTTCAAGATACTTCATTTTCATACCCTTCCTTTCTCCACAATGGGGACTCCCAAAGTAGCTTATGTCACTCTGCTCTCCTCCATTTTATCCTCACAACAACCCTGTGAGGCAGGTTAGGCCGAGTACACAATCGGCCAAGGCCACCCAACAAGTCTCCATGGGGCCTTGGGTTGCCCACTCTGGGTTGGGAAATACCTCGAGATTTTGGGGGTGGAGCCTGGGGAGGGCGGGGTTCTGGGAGGGACCCTGATGAGTGTAATGGAGTATAATGCCATACAGTCCACCCTCCAAAGCAGGCCTTTACCCCAGGGGAACTGGTCTTGGTCGTATGGAGATCAATTGTAGTAACTAGGGATCTCCAGGTGCCATCTGGAGGTTGGCAACCCTGTCTATGGCAGACTGGGGGTTCAATCCTGGGCCTCCCGGATTCTAGTCTGACACCCTAATGCACTACTACACCATGCAGGATCAGCACTCAGGCCTGAGGAAAGCATCCCTTTTCAGGTGATGAAATCAACTTCTTCCTCCTGGGAAGGGCCGTGACTTCTGTCTCAAGTTCAAATCCTCCTCCTAAATGGCCACCATCTTCAGAGCCACCCCTTCCCACAAAACACAACTCTGAATCCACGCCGGGCTGTCCTGAGGTTTGCCTTGCAGGGCTGCAGGGAAGACACTGCTAAGATGACCCCCTCTGAAAGCAAGAAGAAAACCCCGACGTGGATTCCAGGAACCCGGGAATGGATGGTGTTAGAATTTTATTTTTTAAGTGGATATGGATTCTAAGAGATAGGGGACTCCCCACAACACTGAACTCTGCCGTTGCCCACATACACACTGAGTCCTAGGCCCCAGGATTCCCTCCTCTACGTGCAAAGCCTAAAAGGCAAAGGAAAGACCCATTTCTGGGGTTCCCATAAGTCAGCTGCTACTTGAGGCCACTTTCACCACCCATCTATAGGTGGTGGTGCCACTTTCCTCCACCACCTGGGGGCCCTGGGGAGGGTGATGCTGGCCCTTTTTCCCTAGGGGTCCTCAAGCCTGGAGAGAAAAGCCTCAGGAACTGAAGCCTCCGAGCAGGCCCCGTCTGCAGGCCCCAAAGGGGAAATCTTGGCTTTCCTGGGAGAGACCGTGACTTCGGTCTCGAGTTCAAATCCCAAGCATCATAAATAAAGTCCCGGAAGCGGATTTTTTTTCCCGCGCCATGGATCCGACGAGGGGAGCAGGCCAGGAGGAGCAAGGAAGAGACAGAACTGATCGGAGTCGTTTTCTCCCGCTGGGAGGGAGGGAGGGGGCCTGTCACCTCTCCCCCAACCCCGTCTAAACTGGGGCTCTCTCCTCTTGTCGGGTTCCCCCACACACACAAGGTCCCCCCCCTCCCACTTAAAGGCCTCCCCCCCCTTTCCCCCCTGGAACTCACCTAGGGCAAGGCAGACCAAAAGGGAAGCGAGGTGCAAAGTGGCCATGCTGGGGGGGTCCGGATCCAGGGTGGGCGCCCCTTTTCGGCGTGGGGGGTGGGGGGTCCCGTCGGCGCCCGATTCTGGGGCCGGTCACGCAGCCCTGTTCCTTCGGAGCCCCTCCTGCGGTCAACAGACAGACGATCCTGGGGAAGAAGCTTCCAGGGAGAGGGTATTTATAGCGCGGGGCTCAACGCCGGCCCCAGCAGCCCCGAGCGCCTTGGAATGTCCCCGCCGGATGAGCCTGGCCCTGCCTCGGAGAGCCGATCCCTCCCGGGCCGGGAGCAGCCAGCTACAGCGGCAGGGGGCGCTCCGCGGCTTGTTGCCCCGACGGGAGGCCCGCTCGGCCCGCTGCCGCGCTGGGACCGAGCCGGGGAGAGAACGAGCGCGGAGAAGCAGAAGAGGCGGCCGGCTGGGGGAGCCATAAAAGTTGGGAAGGGCCCGGGAAGCGTCTGGGGAACGGGGGTGGAGGCGGCCCTTCTTCTCCGCGCCGAGCCACGAAGCGCCCTGGCGCCGATGGTGCAGCGGAGCCTGCGGAACCTCCCGCCACTTGGGACCCGAGGCGCAAAGCTTGTCCGCCTGGACCCCCCCAAGGTCGGCGCTCTCGAGGTTCCCGAAGCCCCCAGGAGGAGGTCTTGGCTCTTGGCTCGTCTTCGGGAAGAGCAGCGTTGCTTTTCCCCTCTGCAGAGAGCAAATTAAAAAACACAGACCACCCCACCCCCCGGGGGGGAAAAAATCCGAAACCGTCAGCAAAATCCGATTGGCAAAGCGTCTTGCGTGCGCGCGAGGAGGAGCTAGCCGCCTCCCCGGGTGAGTGCCCGGCCGGGACTCCAGAGGGCCGGATCCATGGCCGGTGTTGCGCTGCTGTGCTCGGGACGGCGGCGGCGGCGAGCTCGGTGGGAGCAGGCGGGCCCCTGGGCAGGAGCGAGAGGCGGACTGCGGCTCGGCCACACGGGTGCCTGCCCGCTGCGGAGGGGAAGGATCCGGGCCGGCTGCGGGGGGAGCTGCCCGGCTGACCTCCCCCTGCCCGGCGCGGGGCTGCGACGCGCCGACCTGCCTCCTTCCTTCTCCGCCTGGCCTCCCCCCCGCCGGCGGCGCGCACTGCTGCGGCAGAGCTGGGGCTCGCCGGAGAGGGCGGCTGGGAATGAATCGAAGCGTGCGCCAGGCGGAGGGGGAGGAGGAGGAGGGGGAAGGGAAGG